ACCAGTTAGAAAACACAAACACGAAGTGGTGTAAATTGACGTACAGGAACGATTAAGTTATTGAGAGGCCTTGGTCAGCCTATGGAGTGACTCAACTGCATGGCACGTCCAGCCTATGCACTTGCCCGTACCTGAGATGTTTGCCAGAGGAGTATGCTCTCTCTAAGCTCAGTGGGCTTCCCAAGTTCCAGAAACTACTGTGTATCGAGTCTCTTGCCCTTCTCTCCTCCCTCTCCGGTTTGCTCTGCAATTTAAGGATTTCCTGTATGAAAACTTCTGACCAATCAAACTTTCCTTGCGCAAATAGCTTTCACCCAGGTCTGCTTTTAATCGGATGATAGTAAAGTTTCCACTTATGCCCACTAATGTTCCGACCCACTTGATTACATCCAGGTTTTCATATCCAGGCAACTGGTCATCACCAGACCACAGAGGGATACAATTAGCAAAATTGGTATTTCTTTTGTTCCCTCTCTATTTACAACTTGTTTACATGACCAATACTTTACAGATGGTTTAATAAAATGCATTTCTCTCAATATTTTTTTGTTGTAAACATTAATTAATTAAGCTAGATAATTTTTAAAATCTCAATTCAATATCAGATATATAAAAAAGTCACTAGAATATAAATATGGCATTTCCTAGCAAAATTCTGAAAAGTTTAAATATAAAAATATTTTTCAATGTTTATCACTTGCCTTTTATAAGATTACAGTAATTTGTTTTTAACAACAATTTTTAATCTAAATATCAAACATTTCATTTAAATTTTTCAGTTTCAAAACTTCCAGTAATTCAAATTAGAATTTTTAATTTAGATCATATTTCACAAATGCTTTTTGTATTTCTTTATAGCATGTTATCAACAGCTAAACAAGAGCAAATAAAATTATTCTTGAACTGATAACATGTATGTAAACAACAGTATAAATATCCAATTTTATCACATATGCCTGTTATAGACAATTTGAATTCAAATGAAAATATTACTATTACTATAATTATGTTCTTATAAAATATACATAATATACAGTAAAATGTAACTCAAAATGTCTATAATGCAAATATTTCTTTAACTTAAAAAACAAAACACTTGGTAGGTCTCAATAAATAGCATAGGGAATTAATGTCTCCAACTTGAATTTCTTAACTCAAATTTTCAAGTCAAAGTTTTTCATGGTCACTGATTTATGTTACTTTTAACTTCCCAATTCAGATTTTAATATTTATTCTATCCAAATAATCTTAATTATCAGATTTCCATGAAATTTTCAGGAAGTTAGTTGTATTTACTCTCCAACACCAATTTTCAGACAATGTTCCAGTCCAATGCAAAAGACCTTAACAACATGCACCTGCAAACATGTTCAATTCCATTAGTTACATTAAACATTTTGCTGAAAGGCATTACACGAGCTGTTTAAAGCAAAAAAACACTATCAAGATTCTTCATGTAGTGCAAAACAGGTAAAAGTACAAATTATTTGGAATCAATACTTTTACTCTATTGTTCTGTAACTCAAAATTTTTTCCTGCCCCTTGGAGCTTTGAGTTAGAGAAGTTTCATTATATTTATACAAAAGGATTTTCCACATCAAAATTTAATTCAGCAGTGTACATTTTATATATAGAGTTATTCACTGCATAAAGATTTACAGCTCACAAATAATTTTGATGACATGCACCTAAAGCTATCATTATCAATTCTTCATTTGAATAACTCATTTTCATGAAAACAAAGCAAATAAGTAACCAAGATCACACAGCAGAGCCAAAATCTTCACTTGGCAATATTTTTATAAAAGTGGTTATAAAAATCCTAGTTTGTCTATTTCAACATTGTGTGAAATTGAATCACAAAGCATACATACCCTTTCATGAAAAACAGCAGAATGTTGAGTTCCTGTGCAACGGGAATCCTGTATACCATGAACCTAACAATTTCATGCTGTCATGTGACAAGTTTGGGCAGGAAGGTAGGAAGTGACATTGAGAATCGACGACAGTTTTTGTGCAATGCCACCCAGCACTTTCAAAAATCAAAAATGTTTTTAATCAACTAACAGAAAATTTGGAGTATTTTTTCACTTAAACCTTTTTCCAGTAGACTAAAAAATTGACAGAACATGTCATGTCAAAATTTTTGTTTCAGTTTACTGGAAAATAAATTATTTGTTCACTGTTTAAACATGTGATAAAGAAAAATGAAAACAATAATTCAAAAACCTCCATGCTTTTGAAAAAGTTATAATTCAATTTATTCAAAGCTTACTTATTTTACTATCCAACACAATAAGATAAAGAATGAACACTGATGAACTTAGTTTCCAGCAAAGAACTTTTCAGAAAAAGAGAAATCAGATTTTTAGCAAAAACTTATTTAAGCAAGCATTCAAGATCGTGATGGTGCTCTAAATCTTTTTACTCAAGCTAAATGCAAAGCTCCAACTCTATGCAAGTTTTTTGCTGACCAGGGATACATAAGTAAATTACAAAACCGTTGTTTATTGGAAACAGGTTGCTTATTGACAAATCGCCAAGAAAGTAGTTGATATCGTTGAATGGACCTTTGCTTGGCTCTTGAATTTTAGACTTATGAGCAAGGATTATGAGCATTCTAAGAGTAAGAAAATGAACTATTAGAAAAAGGTGTTTATTTTGTCTTATACTATCCAAATAATGAATCAAAAGCATCCCTTGTAATTTATAAAACCTGCTGATTTTCAAGGCCATTCAAGGTCATCAAAAATTGTCCCATCTGTTATATAAACTTGGGTTATTACTCCTATCTTTCTACCTCCAAGAAAATACTACTGAATGCCACTAATTGATCATCCTGTTTATAAGCATTATACGAAAAGAATCTTTTACAATTAATATTAGAATTTTTTTCTGATATATAAATATTTACAATAAACCTGATATCTAAACTAAAAGTTAGTTTTAGCCTATTTTTAAAGTTTTTATGAAATCATTACTATTTACATGTTTCTATTAAAATTATATTCTCATATTACATACATCTATACCAACTTTTTTCCACCTCCACTACTTATCCTTTAAGATAGTAATCAACTTTGCATTCTCTTCTAAAAAAAATCTTTCCTCTCATAAATTCAATGTTCCAATTCATCCCAAACGTTTTAGATCAGATAAAGCATTGAACTCTAAGCAAACTAATCCATTTTCTTGTTCATATTCTTAATCATTCCATCATAACAGGAACACTAATTACAGAAACATATGCATATCCCAAAATAACTTGCATTAATCTGTCCTGGATTTGAAAATTAATGACATTTACACTGTAGTTCATGACATTTGACAAATTAAACAATTAAACTCCCAGGAACATCATTTCTGCATATTAACAATTGATAGTTTATTAATATTTAAATTGTTTTAATTTAAATATTCAAAGACATGCATTCAAAGAAAAACATTAGTCTGAATGCTTTATTTTTTGTGACTTTAGATTTTATCATCATTTAAAAAAAGTTTTATCCTTGCTTATTGAAATACCAAAATTTTCAAACTAAATTTGAGATAATTATATTCTAGAATTATTTATATCTCAAATTTAGTTTTAATCTTTAACAGTTTAACTCAATATGCTAATACCAGTACTGTCTACCTCATTTTATGCTGGTTCCTGAGAGAGGCAGCATAATTAAAATTGGTACAAAAATACATTATGAAATAAATAGGAATGCATTCCAGGTCTCCACAAACAAATAAAATATCCAAAAATTATAACTAAATTATACAACATGACAATAAGGTTTCTTCAGATTACCAAAGACCATTAAAGAGAACTTCATCCTTATCAAGTATTACACTAGTGCAAGTTATTTACTTATATATGAATGATTTTAACAAAATATTGATTGAATTATAATGTTTATTTTGTTTGGTTCCATTTTGTTTTCTATAAACGAATTTATTCTTTTAATATATCAGCCCTACATAATAAGGGGTCATCTTTCTTTATATGAAACCATGTTTGTCTTCTTATTTATTTATTCAACACAATAAAGTTTAATTTATACATTACCCTAGGCTTTCTTTACGTTCTTTATTCTTTTGTTACAGATACACGTTTTGGGTTTACACTCCCCTTCTGTCAGCTTTTGTTTCTTCTGAAGGTTTTGAGCATTTAAATAAATTATGGGACACTAAAATACATTTTAGGGGTGTATAAACCCAAAACACACATCAGTAACAAAAGAATAAAGAATGTAAAGAAAGCCTAGTGTCATGTATAAACTTAACCCTTTATTATTTATTCAACACAAAGTTTATCATGTGTACAGTTTAAGGGGAAGGGAAGGCCAGTCCAGTCACAAAAGTATACTATTGTACACAATTGGTAGGGAGGAGGAGAAATTATTTAAAAACTGTTTACAGGTATTTAGCAATGAATAAGGCATGAATTTGTCCTTATAAGTGTAGTTAATAGTGACATGAATAAATCATCAGTTAGAAAATAATTGCAGAACTTTTTTTTTAGCACTTGTGCAGTTTAGGGGGTATGGCTATTTGAAAGGTTTTCTTCCATAAAATTAATCGATTCTAGACTAATTTGACTCGAATATTTCCAAAATATGTATAATGTTTTAGGAATAACCCATATAAAATATGTTATAAACAAAAAATTGTCGGAATAATTACCGAGTGTACTCCGTTCGAAAACGCCATTGCTTAAACTTGTTTTCGTCGCGGAGCAGCACATTGGCGTACGAAGCTGTCACGTGACATTTGTCGGTGCTGTTCGATCCCCTAAACTGCACATATACATATATTTTATATGGATTATTCCCAAAACATTATACGTGTTTTTGAAATATTCGAGTCAAATTAGTCTAGAATCGATTAATTTTATGTAGAAAACCTTTCAAACAGCGTATCCCTAAACTGCACTAGTGCAAATCAGGCACACCCCCTAAACTGCATACGTTCCATATACTACTATGCCTTACGTTAAGTACTCTACTCACCAACAGGTACGAATGGATTAGCTTTAGTCTTTCGTATCATCTTTTCTCTCAAACCCTCTTCCTTCATATCGCTCAGTCTCGAGCGAACACGCACCCATTCCAATTCAATTTCTGTTTTATCATTTGACATGATGGTAATGACAATGTGAAAATCAGGTAATGCTTATACGTTTCTTCGCCGGATCCCACAGATCGCTTCCGCAGCATCGGATTAAATTTCTGGAAGAGTAGTGCCCCCTTTCGGATAAATTATTACTTATTTTATTATTATTTTTTTTTTTTACATAAATACCGGTATTAAATTTGTCTCTTCTTGAAGATTATAGCTTAAATAATTATGTAAATGTTAAATTAGCGTAGTTTTAATTTGTAAAAGGATTAATAATTGTATTTTATTCGAGAATCAAAACGCGTAAAAAATTTTAATATTTTAATTTTAATTCGAAATGTAAATTTTAAATAAAATATTACTTAATATTAAAGTGGTCCATGAGTAAACATCGGTTTCTTGTCATTTTGACAACGTAGAATTGGTTTCTTATTTTTTTTCACAATTAAATATAAAGGCTATATCCAATATGGAACTATAATTGGAGTGGCAGCGCTCTGTTGCTACTAGAGGCACACTTGAAGCTGGAAATGGCTTCACTGTAGAACAAATCGCCACATTGTGAGGGGAGGAAAGTTTGTTTTTCTTTTGAATTCGACGTTGGAAAAGAGAAAGTAAAGGTAATAGAGAGGTTGCGGCCGACGTTTCCATCGAGAGAACGTGTACTTCGGACGTTCAGCGCCGCATTCCTGTAAGCCTAGAAGTTTGACAATGGCGTTTGGAACGTCAATGGAATCATGCTCAACGTTCCAAACTCCATTGTCAAACTTCTAGGCTTACAGGAATGCGGCGCTGAACGTCCGAAGTACGCGTTCTCTCGATGGAAACGTCGGCCGCAACCTCTCTAATGAATAACATAAACGGTAAAAAATACATTCAATTAGGTTTATTTATCATTGGCAGTGCAGCCGCATTTCCTAATATTATATTTCATCCATGTATCTCACACATTTAGGAAAACGTCCAATCTCACTTTTCTCAATTTTTATTTAACCAATTTCGATGAAATGTTTTTCTTCGATGCGGAACATGATTATAACAAACTTCTGAAATGGCGGTTAGAGTAAAGGAAAAGGTATTCAGCTAAAAAAGGTCTTAAACTTAATATTAACGAATAGATATAGACATATCTAGATGTAATTTGATGCGCTGAATCGATTGGTATTAAAAAAAATTACTTACGATCAACCGTTTAAAAGTTACGAACGATTTTTTATTTCCGGCTATTTGCTTCGTTTAAGAACAACTTTATTAAAGAATACGCAAGCACTCTTCGATATTAACAAAACGAGTTACTTTAATTCACCATAATACATTCCATCTACGAGAGAAAGCGACATTAAAAATGCTAAAATGGTGTCGTTACACGCGTGGCCAAAACGTGGCGCATTGGACGATTACAAGTGGCGCTTCAGTTAGTTCTGAGCAAAATTGCCAGATTTGGCTTTTTTGCGATTAAGATAAACAATATCTCAGAATGAGTAAAGTTTACAGACGAAATGTGGCACTGTAGCTTGCGTATAAGGGGACATTAATACTATTAAATTTTGGTTTTTAATTAAAGAACGACAGGGTAAAGACATAAAAGTGGTCATGTGTCATATCTTTTAATGAATATTTTATTCGTTATTAGCGTTCAAAATTAAAAAAATAATAATAATAAAATAAAACTCGTCTCTACCCTCAAAGTAAGCTTTTTTGTCATTTTATACATTTTTTTGTACAGTAAAACCCGTTAAGATGTTCTCGCCTAAGATGTTAGAATGTATATGGGCACACGATTTACTTCAACTACTTTGACGCTTAATAACTAACTCCTATGTTAAACCATCTGACTCCGATTCTGACCACTCTGACCACAGAAATTATTAGGCTTCAAACAGGGTGAACAAAATCATGCCCCACACAGTCTAAAATCCACACATATAGAAAAAACCTCGAATCTTTTGTATATCTCGAAATTTCAACGTGTCCCGAGTCGAAAAATGTAAAAATTTGGGAAGGGTCATTTTTTCAACGAGCGCTACACTTTCCATCTGTTATATATAACAGCAGGAAAAGTAAAAATTATCGAATATATATTTATATATTACTTAGAGGAGTCTTTTAGCTTTGGAATAAAAAAGTTTCTACATTCTATCTTTATTAGAACTATATTTATTGAATCTTTTATTCTGAGATCAACGTGATGACATCAGAATTAACGGGTCTCTTTCGGTAACATGTCCGCCCCTGGTCGGAGTCGGATGGTAAGGAAAAGTCGGAGTCGGTAGATTTTTACGCAACTCCACAGCCCTGCTTTAAATGGTTCGCGGCCCTTCTACTGAGATCTCAGCATGCATTTCTAGTTTGAGAAGCATTGATATAGAGTGTAGATTAGTGGTTCCGGGAGTGGGCACTACCGCCTCCTGTTGGCGATGTGTTTAGTTTAGTTTCGTTTGTTTAAGTTATGGCAACGCAACACTTGGGCGATCTGCCTGGGGGGTGCCTTCCGGGAAGTCTTTTAAAGGGAAACTGGCCCATATTTAGGCGTTACAAATGTGGAGAAAACCCGGAAAACTCCACGTTGCCAGTCCGTCCGAGCGAGGCGCGAACTAACGACCGAACTCCCAGTGTTCAGGGTACGAAAACTGCTTGGCCACTGGTGGGCCATAGGCGGTGAGTAAATCTAGGGGGCTAAAAGAAGCAAATGGGCGGCAGGTGGCACTGGAGGCAGTGTACTGAACGGTGACCATAGGCAAAGGTTGAGATCTCTGCCTTTTCCTTTCCTTTGTTAAGCGATTAAGAAGAAACATTGCGTTTAATGGTTTCCAGATGTTGAGAACAATACAGTACACAGTAAAGACACAAAGTGTGAGGTTCATAGAAAAGTTTTCCTAAGAATATTTTCAAGCCTTTCTCACACAAGAGAATATGGGTTAGGGGGCGTTGGGTATAACTTTATGGAACGAAGGGGGCAGTGGATCGAAAAAGTTTGGAAATCACTGATGTAGACAAAGGGTGCACTGTCTGGTAAAGCAGCTTTAATACAGACAGATAAGCAAACAAGGTCCGTTTCAAAAGAAATGGGCTCTGGCTTACTTATTCAGTTGCATTAAAACCACTTTAACAGGCAACTGTACAGTAGTATTTGTAATCCGACCCTGTCGGTCTGATATGTCATATTACTAGATTTTGTACTTATGCCTACAGTAAAAAAATCCAACAACGAGTTGCTTAACTTTCCCGGCGACATTTGGTGGCGCCATCTGTTATGATATTTTATTAAACTAAGCTTTTATATTTTTAATAATTATAAAATAGCAAAAAAACTTAATTTGAGGGTAGGAATGAATTTTATAATAAAAAATTTTAAATGCTAATAACGAGTAAAATAGTCATTAAGTCGGACCTACTCGAAATATGACACTACTCCTTTATTTCCCCACCCCGTGCAAAAACAACTAACGTTGACAGTATATAGCGACTATAACATACTGTAATGTACATCAGTCTCTCTCTCTTGCATGCATCGAAAAGTGATAAGACGAAAATTTTTGTGCACCGCCCTCTGGAATTGTTGGACATGTCGCAATGGCGAGTGACGGATTGTAGAGACTATTGTATTATCTTATCTAAGTTTAAGTCATTAAGGGTTTTATAATTTATATTTGAGTTTAAATTCTCAATAGTTTTTTAAACACAGACTATTTAGAATAGCAAAATAAATCAAAATAATTTTTTAAATTTCTGATACAGAACAAATAGTTTATTTTCTTATATCCAGATGGCGCAATGTTCTTCCAGCAACGCATTTACTCTCACAAAGACAGATTATTATTAATATATTTATTCTCTGTTTTTTTATATTTTCGAGTAACTTGTATAAAATTCAATTATTATTTTTTAATTTTAATTAATAAAATCAAGAATTAATTATGCATTTCTGATTAAACAACAAATATAGAAATAAATTACCTTATGTAGTTTCGTTATCATATAAAATTATATATTAAATTTCTAAGTATTGATAAATTAATTTTACTTTAATAGTTGACCTTATAGTATTTTCTTCTTTTTCAAATAAAGGATTTTTAATGTTAACAATATAATAACGTTATTTAAAATATATACCTATACATAAATATATAGTGTATATAATTTTTATATGAATGTACTGTACTTCACTACCTGAGATGTTTCTTGAAAAATTCCCAATATATATTGGGGATCTCTCATATCTTGTGCATTATTATTATTATTATTTGAGTTGTGTAACTGTAAAAGAGATTTTCCCAATTAATTATTATAATAATAACAACAATTTTTGGAAATTTGAATTCTTGTTTGGACCAAATTCATAAAATATTATGTAATTAATCTAAATCTGTAACATTGCATCTTGTTTGCATGGTTTTTGTTTCTCCGTCGAACATTGAATACCTAATACAAAGAACATGATTTTACGAGACAAACATGCCATTAACTTATAGAAAAGTATATTTAAAAATATATGCAAAATTGCACATATCTTATTTTTTCATTAACAATTAATATTATCAAAAATTTTACAAATTCTTTGTAAATTCAAATTTAAAATGAATAGAAAAATTTTAATAAAGCTATATTGTTTATATCAGTACATATTTCAGCAATTATATTGATTAATAATATAATCGCTGTTAGAAGTTTAGATCTTTGAAGCATTAAAAGTTTGAGCTTGAATGGATCTTTATACATGTATTATTGAATGACTTATAAATCATACTAGTAAAAAAATATGATAATCTAATAAATAAAATAATTATACAATGAAATTAATTAGGTTTTATATCATTGGAATAACAAAGTACACATTAATTTTATGATGATGATGGCCCATGAAATGGGTTGAAAACGTTTGTTTAGCTGAATATATGTGCGTTCTCAGTATTAAGGTGTGTTGACTGTATATTGTTAAAGAATCTGAGTGAGAACAGGGATTAAGAATGGTATCAACGGCCTGTTTGTATAAGAGTTATAGAAAACTAGCAATAAAAATTGTAAGGATGGACTCCAAATTAATTTTATGACAAGTATCTTCATAGCAATAATTCAATCAACTTATTGGTATACTGACCTCTGAAATTTATAGTAACAAGCATCATTTATATAATAATTATTTATATACCTTTCAGTAGCATTTCAGATTATCAACTTTTATTCCAAGTATAAACAATTTAAATTCAAAATTTACACAGTGTTTACTATATTTTAAAAGCAGATTATTTTATGTTATGGTAAAGATTTGTTTTTATAACTTCAAATGGTAAAGAAAATGGAATCTTTAAAGTGAATTTTAGTACTCAGTGACATCTTTTAAATTATTAAAATTTAATAAGTTCATTAATGAAAAGTTGAGAAATTTCGCTTTTGATATGTGCCCGACAATAGATTCTAATTGATGTTCATTGTGAAGTTACTCAGGGAATCCTAACAACACGTGTGGTTAACAATCATCTACAGCTGACATCCACTGATATATTCATCACGTAAATGCGATATCTGACCTAGAAATCGCTAAAGTCACTTTGTAAAAGTTTTGTTTTGTATTTATGACGAGTTGTCCAAAATGTTAATAGCAGTTAATTTTCTGTAATTATGTAATTATGAATTTCTAGTTTTGCTAAAACTTTTATAATCACATAAGGAATTATGTCGATGTAATTATTTTTTAAGGATATTCTGAAATTTTAAGTCACTATAAATCATAGCTATTAGGTTAAATTTTATTATAATTTTCATTTTTTTAAGTTTTTCATTAATTTAACAATTCAAAATAAATACTAAAACATGTGAAGTTAATTTATTGTAATACGAATAAATTTTATTTTGTTTTAGAAAGTAGCTAATCACTGATCTTTACAAAACTCATTTAAGAATATTTATCCAGCAAACGATCCAGTAGCGTAAGCAAGGACCTACGCCCCCTTACTTTTAGTAATAAAGAAATTAAGAAAGAATCAAATAAGTACAGAAAAATATATATGTGTATAATTACAAACCCTTAAGTACAAAAAACCATGTACAATACATGTGTATACAGTATATTCACAA